AAAAGTAGATCATAACAATATTTATGATAATTTTCCAGGCAAATTTGCCTGGAAGAGCCTACAGTTTAAGGGATAGTGTATATAATCTAAAGATTATTCATAAATTATTTGACCTATTATAATATTCAACCATGTCAGTTATTGCAACTAAAATCATTAAAAAATACAACCTTACCTCTAAAACAAATATGTCTAAACTTAGTCAATACACTTCAGAGTTTTTCAAAAATCTCACAGATAATAGGAAAAGAAATCAAGCACAAAGGCATCATTGGAATGGATTAAAATTTAGCAATGAACAAGTAAGTATATTAATATCTAATCAAAAAAGTGATAAAGCTAAAGTCAAGTATAAAGTGCTCTACTCTGCAATAAATCTTGCTAAAGTTAGTTATAGAATGACTACACTCTCTGATAGTTTCTAAGTTCCTGACTTAACTTCACAAAATTTAGAAGAAACTATCAGAGATTTAGCCTAACACATTTTGCGAGATAAACTTAGTATAAAAGATATAAGAGTCAAAGCTCATGCTTTGGCTAATTTAGCTTCAAATACTAATACTGGTTCATCATGTCTTTCTTGACTTCAAAGAGAACTAAAAAATCTTGGCACTTCATTCCAAACAATCAAAGCTATGAAATTTCCTGATATTACAAAAGATACCAATGAAATTCAGAGAGATCGACGTAAATTTGTCAAGGCATTTGAAAGAATTGATTATCCAGACCACTTTACATTAGAATTAGTTAAAGAAAGGTTGAATAGTTATGATATTTCTACATCGCCCAATTTATAAGCTCTTGCAAATATTATGATTATACTTAGTATACACCTACTAAACTTTCAATTTAATATATTACAGACATTAGAGTGATAGGCTTTGCGAAGAATAGAGGATAGCCAGATATCTCTAGAAAATTTAGATTTATAGAGAAGAATCAAGAATGAGCTAAAGAATTACTAACCTGGATACAGAATGCTATATTTTCTGGTTGAATAGATAATCTAAGTAAGCCAGGGGTTAAATAGTTTAATAGATTCTTAAAAGACTATGATTTAATTCCTCACCATTTACGTAAATAGAGGCTGTATATTCTGTAGTAATACATGAGGCAAAGAATTTAGCTCATGCTATAACAATTGCTAAAAAAGCCTTATGCTACAATCCTAACAATAACACCTCACCAGCACAAAATTATGTTGTGATAAATTATTGAAGAAAAAATTAATCTTTAAAGCAAGCAAAACTATTCTGGATCTATGATAAAGACTAATCACGCTTCTTCACTTTTATTATATCCACAATAAAATTTTTATTATCATTATACAAATCAGAGTCAGACCCAGATTCAGATGAAGTTAAAAATTTGGATGCAGTATCATTAAAAATTAGTTTTTTTCTAGCTTTGCATTTTTTTTTAACCACACATGGGATACGTTGCCAAATATTGTCTGAGTTTATTATCAAGTTTATAATATCTTGCTGAATCTTGGGTTTTATTATTGCTAGTAATCAATGAAGAGAGATCCAGATTTTTTTATTTGATACTTGCTTAATAATATCAGATACTGTGTTATTGATAATATATGCCTTGGCACTAGCTTCGTTATTAGATGAACTTTTATCTTTTTCTAAACCCAATTTTTTTGCAATCTTGATAATTGGAGATTCTGAACCCGAATCACAAACTACTTCTGTTTTCTACTATTAACCAATATTGATAATCTTTTCATTAATTCTATTAGTGATGCAATTTTATTATTATTCTCTTGTAAATTCTGATGAGCCAGTCCAATATTGCTATTAGCTTCAGTCATTGTAAATACAAAATTATTATTTATTAATATGAATTTAAAAATGCAGAATTAAATATATTGTTATAATAAAACATCATGATGAGAATTTTATCTTGTGAAATTAACAAAGTACTAATTAAAACTATATTAGATACATCTAAAATAACAAATATATAATAAGTTATAGCAGAGTACAATATAGGTTAAGTGAATATAATGTAAATTATATTGTTAACAATATTAAAACATCAGAAGCATGGTTATGATTTGCAAAATATTATCCACCAAAATATGTACGCAAGCGTTTATTAAAACTAGAATATAAAATAGATAGTAAAGATTACTGGGAAAATTTTGTATTTTGTATCAAAAATAATTTGACTAGCTATAAGCAAATAGGTAATAACCCTAATTATAGAGATTTTAAAGTTCAACTAGCATTATATAAAGAAAATCATGCATCATTAATTATTCAGAAGATATATCGTTTATAGAAAAAATGAATAAACTTTGCTAAAGTAATCCAATATGCTGTAATTAAATAGCTTTATCAAGTTGATGGACCATTTATGAAAGATGCTCAAGATCAGTATTATTGCAAAGCAATGACTCAAAGGGTCTATCAAAATGCTAATAAACTTGAAAATTAACAGTAAATAAAGAGATCCTGGCTTTTCTATCCAAATCGAATCATTATTGCTTTATTTCATTCGATTAGTATATTACTAATTTATAAATTATTCATGATTGCCAGTGAAGATTGAATGATCCTCCTATACTAAATAATTTGTAAATAAACAGATCACCAAATCTGAAATTAGTTTTATATTACCTGAAATTAAATTTTTTTAATCACGAAAGTGAATGTACTATATAAAAATAAGCTAAGTATATGATTAATTGCAAACACTTATCTGTCTATAACATATACTTATTCTTTCAATTCTGCAAAATTTCATTTTTGAATATGTCTACTAATCTGACCCCCAAAATATTTCATGTCTCAAAACTTTCACATTGAATATTCTTAAAAATAGCTCCCCAAATGTTATTGCAAAAGATGTTGAAGTTCCAGAACTAGATCTATGCTCAAGGTATAAAGAAGAGCTTGTTTTGTACGAACTAAAAAAAACTATTTGCTGTACTAACTTGTGATCTGAAATTTAATATTTACTATTTCTGGATATTTATTAATTCTCTATTTGCACTGTTTTAAATATAATACCAAATCGAGCTGGTCTAAATAATTTAGAACAAACTATAAGTAAGTATATAAAATGGCAGTAGAAATGATAATGATTTTGAAAAATTACAAGTGAGGTGGTCTTAAGACATTTTTGTTAAATTGTCTGCACCAAAATATTACTGTATTACAAAAATAAAGTAGCTGCATGACACAATTGTGCCAAAACAGGAATGTAAATTTAGATTTTAAAAATCTGTATATTATTTTTATAATAGGGTTAAAATCAAAAGATAAGAGAAAATAAACCAGATTTTTAAATAGTAATTTTACTATTATGGATTGAAAAACA